CTAAAGTAGTCTGAGTTTGATCCAACACAACAAGATTCTCCAATAGGGGAGGAATGACTAATGAACCAAGGAAGACACGGTGCACTTGTAAATACATTTGTACAGGTACCAGATTTTATTCCCTGGTTTGTCCGCACATGACCACTGAAGGTTTAGAGTTTAATGGTAAGGCTCTTCTCCTCGCACTCAGAAGATGCGAGTTCAATGTTAAGAGAAGAAATGTATTCCAGAGAGCAATACATCTCAAAATATATATTTCTCCTGGAATGCTGTATCCCACTCTGCCCGAGTAGGCCTGACACTAGGCTGGGTCAAAGAAGCTAGCCTCCTACATCTATAATCTATTATACGTAGTCTATAATTTATGCACTGGGTATAGTCGTCAAGCGCAGATATAATATAAACAAAACTGAACAACGAAGGAACCCAACTGGGTAAGCGAAACTAACTTCAATTCCAGAGATCAATTGTCATTGTGATGACAGGGAAGCCCAAATACTATAAGTATAAGTATAAAAGGATTTTTTCTTGTTCTTTTTAGGGGGGTGGGGGTTGCTTTTCTGGGCTGGGCTATCTAAATATTATTAATATGTAGTGCAGATAAGCACTCCCTTAAAAAAATACACCATCAGTCATTACATCCAAAATTCATTTTAGAAGGGGTAATTTTGAACATCTAGAGATCTACTATCCACATACAGAGAGACTGCATCATTCTAATTGAACATGCAGAGGATGTAGGCTATTTAGACAAAAAAAGAAAAAAGAAAAAAGTCAAACAGCATGTTCAGTAGATCATCATGTTGTGGTTTTATTGATGACAATGTTCACGATGAATGAATTTAAAAGCTGCCAAATCGCATTCACGCAATCCAAACTCCACCTGTCATAATTGTTTGTCGGAGCAATTGTATCATAAATAAAAATAAAACAAATAATAAATAACACTGGTATGGAGTAACTTACATAATAAACAAATATATTCTTCTTAGTGTACATGGGAACATTTACAGAATAAATTTTTTATCTATTCTTGAAAGTTGTATGCTATTTTATGTCTCTTGTAGACATAAACCTAACTCATCCCAAAGTTCAAACTAAAATACAGATTATGTTTATGTTTAGAAAGACTCCTTCACACCATGTTCAAAAGAAACATCTAAACAAAATTCTTAATTATATAAAAAATACAAATGTTTGGATATGGCAGCAGTGTAAGACAAGAATAAACATCCTCGAAAATGTCCGCCGAGGACGATATTGTGAGCGAAAGTTCTGAAATATACTATACCCATAAAAAGAAAATGACCCTTGCTTGAGATATAAGTGATACCTGAGAGAAATATTAGCTCATGGCTACTGTTGTTGTTAGCGATCCAGTTCATGGCTACTCAAACACTTGATTATATAGGGCCAACTTTCTGTACTTGACACTTCTCTTGAACATGGTGCATTTGACAACACTTCCCTGTGTGAGGCATGTTTATCAATAAAACTAGCAAAATTTCAAAGCAGACAAATTAAATGCTATTTTCTGCAGTAAAAATGTAATAAGATTGGCTCCAAAGACTCAGAATTCTGGATCTGGTAAATCTTTTTCAGGTCTCTTCTTAATAAAACAGACATGCCCGGGGGCAAGATTCTAATTCTACAGCCAAGCTAGAGAAAAGGACAATAAAAAATTCCCAAAGTCCAAATCATGGCAATAGCTGGACACAGAGTCTATTATTTCCACATGTCTACTTTTTTACATGCAAATACCAACCCACAGCTATCGAGTAATGTTTACAGTGTACTGTGTACAGCATCCGGCACAACCTACCCAAATCACGTACAGAGGCTGAGAAAGGGCCAGATTTATGTCAAAACTTAGTTTAATTACTCAAGAACATGAAAAAAGTACATTCATTAAGCAAGAGCTGACAAAGGAACAAAATCATCCTTGAGGAAAAAAAATAATCAAGAGGTTAAGTCTATCACTTACACTACTAACTTAGCTAAGTTTGATGTCTGTGATCCTGTTCTGAGTAAAAATATATGAGCAGCATGAAGGAAACCTTCAGCTATGCAGTGCGATCCTTCACATAAAATTTGTAGAATTCTCAATTCAAATTTCTTTAAATTTAATCAGCCACTATAACAATACTGCAACTTTATGGGGAGGAATTTTCATGTAACAAATATATAGGAACTGTCTGATACTATTGCAATAAACTGTTGGCATTCTTCTACCGATGTGCAATATTCAGTAAATCATGAAATTTTACTATTATTAATATTAAACACACACAGGCCCCCTTCTTTACAGGTAAAATTTTTTTTAAATTAAAAATTAGGAAGCGAGAAATCTGAGCTGCTGCTCAACATTAAGAAAAAGGAAACAGTAAGAGAATCAGGTCCAGTCTCAAATTTCAAAAGTTGTGTCGTCAAAGACTTTGAAAAAAGGAGTAAATCAAGGCCAACAGCCTATTTCAAAATACTTGAGATCGATAAAAGCATAAAAATAGAATGTAAAGGAAAAGTAGAATCACGATAAGACATGATGAAGTTTCCTTCTCATCTTTCTTTTTTTTAAAAATGAGCAGAGGCCAATCAGATGAGATTCAGAATATATAGACAGCAGCTGTTAGACTTCACTATCAACACTCTCATTTGTTCTAGGGCCATATTATAAGTGCTCATACCATAGAAGCAAATTTGTACCTACTTTCAACAGCTTATAACTTTACATTCTATTTTTTCAAGACAAAACCGCATTTTATTCATGTTAAATAAAGAACTAATTATGGAAGAAATTCAATGTAAGAATACATAGACCTGCATGTGAGCCTCAACCAGATTGTCTGAAAATTTTGCGCGCACCCCCCCCCCCCCTCCCCCCCATAAGAGCTTAAATTTTGTGGGTGTCATAAGGAAGGACTTTTCCGAGTAATGAGCGACCACCCCAACAAACACAATAAAGAAGAGACCTAACCCTAACCCTAGGCCTACCCCAAAAAAGAACCTGCAACGGGCCTCATGTAAAAAGGCCAGCATAAGTCCAAAATGAAAAAAAACACAAAAAAACCCACTCCAAAACAAAGTCAAAGGAGCATGCATGTGGCCTACATCTTGCTATTACAATAGGGTTTGATACAATAACACAATAGAATTGGAGTATGAATCCTCCATACCATATATAGATCTAGATCTAGTAATCTAAATAAATTTAGATCGATATCTTGTAGAACAAGTGAATAGGAATAGGCCTTGAACTAGAAATCCGCATCCGATTCCGAAAAGAGGGACTCAGCTTAGTATAGATTCTAAATAATTCACGCACCTGATGAAATGCTTTTTACCAACATTAATATTACAGCACAACCTATGACTACGATAGGGTTTGACACAATAGAATTGGAATATGAATCCTCCATTGAGGTCTATAATGATCTATATAAATCTAGATCTAGATCTAGATTCTATTAGAACAAGTCAAGTGAGTGAATGAATCCACACGATCTCAACAATTGAATTTGTCAACAAACGAAATTCAAAATGGCCGCTCGAGCACGAAACTGAAAGTAGATAATTTAGGTCGTCGTCCTTTTTCGTATTCGCATTTCTACTCGGGTTCCGACAATTATGTCGGAAACGCCGACGTCGGCAGTCGGCGGAGCGCGCGTCGGCGGTCGGCACGAAAACGAAAAGTGCCGACAAAGCCGACGGGAGAATAAGGGGGCGCTGGCAGTCGGCCAGGCCTCGCACTTCGCACATTGACTGATACAGGTGGACCTAGCGATAGCATCGGCCGGTTCGCGGGTCGGGTCGCGATTGTCAGATTTCAGACGATTGTCGGCAAACATGCAGGTCTAAATACAAATTGTCAAATTAATTAAGAAACGTAATTTATGTGTATAATCTCAAAAATTCTCTTCACTGGTATATCGTCAAGTTAACATTCTATAACCCTATGCGTACACCTGGGGTCATTTTGTAACCCAAGGGTTGTATTCTTCACATTTTAGAAATACTTCTAGTACGAAGATCTCTTTTAAACTTTCAGTATTTCTCAAAAAATCATTTTGACAGACTGCTATGCAAAGTGTATGGATCGGATTAACGAGTAAATTTCCTCTTTGGAAAGTGGCGGCACAGAGTTCCCCACATTGTATGGATACGAGAGTAAAACACAAAGTCCGGATACGGTTAAGAAACAAGCAAATTTTTAAGAGCACCACTTTTGACTGCGTCTTGAGGTGTTTACAGCAAATAATGCTGATGTACTTCTAAGCCATACAGCAAGAAAAGAGAAACAAAAGATTCTATAAAATACAAACTTAGAAATTATACCACCCAATACACAAAGAACATATGGACCCCCCCAATCTTTTGACAAACAAACATCTTGGCACTGGTCAATCATTCAAAACCAACATGATCATGAACAATCGTAAAGTATAATTCTCAACGCCTGTGTCGTACGTTATAAATAACAACCAGCGGGGTTCAGTAACCCAGCAATTTCCACACACAGTCTTAGAGCAGTCACTCCCGCCACAAACCACAAGCCATCCTGACATCTCTTTGCGACACCAAGCAAGTCCTCTCACATAAGTCTTCACTTTGACGGACACTCTCCACACCACAATGCCAGCGCCTGCACTTCTCAATCTCAGGTTCAGTCAACAATCAATATAATAGATATATGTCATCATTGTTCTACTGTCCTATCTGTGCAGCACTAGTCATTCAGATACTGAAAGTATGTAATGTATATATATTTTTGTACAATGCTGACATAAATAAAATCTCAAGACTTTTTGTTTTCATTGATCTATTTACATTGTCTCTTCAACACACTTTTGACTTCATGCTGGTATCTGGCCAGCAACACCCCCCCCCCCCCCGTCTCCTCTCCCACAAATAAGGAATATGAAGTGCATAATTTATACTGAGGAACAATAGTGGTAACTTAGCCACAACTGATGACAGGGGTCGATGTTATGACCTTCCAGTTCTTTTCCTACTAGACACCTCTGAACCTAGATAACGCATGACAATCCAAAATGCATAGGAAACAATAACAAAGGGGTGAAACATGCCATGTACTGACGACAACAAACACTTCAAACCATGTTTTCATATCACAAGCAACACACCGAAATCAACCATTGCGCATTCCTGACGTATAAATACTCATTCACACTCTCACTCATTCCGGTCACATGCTTCCCCTTTTGATTCACTCTCACTCGTGTTAAAAGAGGAAGATGTGTGACATATGGAGATTTTGTAGACAGATGTATGACAGACATAATGTTTAGATATAATGAAGTGGGAGTTGATGACAAGAGGTCACAAACGTTTCAAAGTTTTCTTTTTATCCCTTTTCTTTTTCTCCACAATCTTTTTGTCGCCAGCGTGCTTTTTGGCTTGTGGACCTTCACTGGATTTGTCTTCTGATGAGCAATTATCGCCGGTCGCTCTGCAACAGAGAAATAATAAAAATGATTTAAAAAACATACCACCTCTATGGTCTTGAGTCTCGTCTTGCAGGCAAACACATTTCCCTCAAAACACTCTTACTTAGGCTACTCATAGCAGGTCAACGGACTACAATTTCAACACTTTTGGTATAGGTTAATTAAGAACTGCCTGGGCAACTGAACTCAACAAAGATTCTTTTCATTGACAGTCAATATCCAAAGTGTCATCAATGTGTGCAACATACATGCAGGAACTCTCTAGTTCTTCGTCCTTACCTAGTAAACTTTAATTAAACACACTCGAGCTAATCTACCAGTCCAGGCCTTGCCTGCACAGACCAGGCACATAAGTATAGAGGAAGTAAGACTAAGACCTTACCTACATACTGACCATGAGTAAAGAAAACAACCATTAACAGCAATATGGCACTTCCACGAATCTTGTGGACTACAGGAAACTTAAGAAAACAGTAGAACATGGCTATAGTGGGACTTTTGGTTCCAGAAAAAAAAATTCTGCTGTAGGCGAGTTCCTGCAATAGGAATGCAAACGGGAAATAACCACAACATTTTAAATTACCTCCCTTCCATATCAATAAAATTTGCGCTTTAGATAGATAAATCTTCCTTTTCTTTTCAACTTCGTTGATTATCTCGGCTTTTAATTTGAGTGAGAGGCATTTCCTTTTCTTTGTTGGAAGCCACCTATTCCTCGGTCCTGTACAGCTTGTGCTGTCTATCGTACAGTTAGTGTTAGGCTTACTCAACTGTAGAACAGGTGAAGTGGATGCATGCGTATGCCTATGAGCATCAACGATCACAATTCAATGAATCAGGAATCACACACTACACACTCTCCTCTTCTTTTACGGCCTAGGGCTATGGCCTATACACTCTCATACTGAGCATCTGAGCTACTGCACATCACTTTTGGAGCAGCTCATGTAACGCATCTCTCCGCCACCTGCCCCACCTCACTCATCACTGGACTGGCCAATCACAACGCCGCACCCCTGACTGCCTATTTGGAGCCTGCCGAAAGCCCCCCCCCCCCCCCCCCCCAACCCGCTGTATCCGAGTTTGGCCTTTCCGAGCACAGGTAGTTGAGTTCACATAGACAAAAAAAGGGGGTTCCAGTAAGGTCCTGCTGTGGGGATGGTCCCACTGTAGCGGGCGCCATTATAGTCATGTTTTACTGTACAAAACTGCTTAACACGAAATTCCCATTAACACAAAGCAATTTCAAATCTGTCTGGAGGGCTCTCGTGGTCTAGAGATTACAGTGCTTGCCACTCATTCATTAGGCCCTGGGTTTGAAACCTCGCAGTGATGGAAAATTTTCTTCTCTGAAATGTTCCCCTTTCACCTCCTTTCCTACTCTCTAGCCATGTTCTGTCATCTGTTTCGTCGTCACTTTCTGCCCCCACCCCTTTCCTCCTTTGCCCCCTCCATTTATAAGCAGCCTTTCTACTGTTACAACTTGTCTCCTTATGTTGTCTTTCAGCCACACCCCTGATCTTGGGTAGGTTAGATTTAACACCTAGCCTCCTCGCATAAGGGCGAAAAATCTCGGAGGTCGCAGTTGCAAGTTGCACACGTTTAAGATCCCTCCATGGTTCAAATTTCAAAATTAATTCCTACCAAACAGAAAATGTTTAACGTGTCCCGCATGCTCATATGACCTTAAATGTAGTTGCGGGCGCCGTAAAATACTTACCAAAACAAATCTGTGTCTCCCCCCCCCCCCCCTTTTTATTCAACGCACTGTACGACTGATTCGTTTTCAAACAAAGGGAAAAGAGATATATCCATTATTCCTGTGAAGTTTGTGACATTCCCCTTTGCACTGAACCTCGCTTTTTAAAATAAATTAACTCTGAAATGAACAATGTTTCTGCCGTAGTGAACGTGAAGCTTTAAACTGTGCTATTTCTCGTGTTTCTACAGCGTAAATGAGGTGTACATGGTGTTAGTGCTTAAATCTAAGTCAATTTTCAATGAAAAACTCATAAAATGCCTAGACTCCAGCACATGCGTCTCTAAAAATACCCCACACTCATCTGAGTTAAGGAGAAGCAAAAGGCTCTCACAGGTCTAAAAACAAAACTTAAATCACACTTTCAAAAAGACATATTTAGCCTCTGCTATCAACGACAGAATTACACTAACCTGAGAGGCTTGGCGTGAATTTCTGTGAACATTTTTGCTCGTAATGAGTAGTCTTCATACTGTTCCAGCAGCAGTTTGCCAGCTTCAGCGTTAAGGGCAGACTCTGGATTAGGCACTATTAGTAAACACTTCACAGTCTGCAGAAGAGAAAAGAAAACAGAAACATTACCACAATTTCATTTATTTATTCCATAAAGTCATATTACACAGAGCTCCGTGAAAATTCGATTTGTAAAGTTTAGACCTGCATGTGAGCCTCAACCAGATTGTCTGAAAATTTTGTGCACCCCCCCCATAACTTATAAGAGCTTTTAAATTGTGGGTGTCATAAAAGGAAGGACTTCCGAGTAACGAGCGACAACCCGAACAAAGACAATAAAGAACAGACCTAACCCTAACCCAAAATAGAACCTGCAACAGCTCTCATGTAAAAAGTAAAAAGGACAGCACAAGTTAAAAAAAAAATTAAAAAACATAAAAAGCACACTCCAAAACAAACAAGCCTAGATCTACATTGCTAATCATTGCTATAAAAAGGAGTTTGATACAATAATACATAGAATAGGAATATGAATCCTCCATATAGATCTAGATCTAGATATATTATAGATCTAGTGATCTAAATAAATCTAGATCTAGATGTAGATCTTGTAGAACAAGTGAATAGGAATAGGCCTTGAACGAGAAATCCGCATCCGATTCCAAACAGATGGACTCAGCTGAGTCTAGATCTAGAATCTAGATCTAGAAAAAGATTAGATCTTTATTCTAAGTAACTAATTCACGCACCTGATGAAATGCGTTTTACCAACATTAATATTACAGCACAACCTATAATAAGGTTTGACACAATAGAATTGGAATATGAATCCTCCGTTGAGGTCTATAATGATCTATAAATCTAGATCTAGATCTAGATCAAGTAGAACAAGTGAGTCGGACTCGAAAGAATCCACATGATCTGAACTATCAGTAAACAAACGAAATTCAAAATGGCCGCTCGAGTACGAAACTGAAAGTAGATAATTTAGGTCGTCATACTTTTTCGTATTCGTATCTACTACTCAGGTTCCGACAATTATGTCGGAAACACCGACGTCGGCAAGAAAACGAAAGTGCCGACAAAGCCGACGGGAGGAAAAGGGGGCGCTGGCAGTCGGTGAGGCCCCGCGCTACGCACATTGACTGACACAGGTGGGCCTAGCGATAGCATCGGTCGGCTCGCGGGTCGGGTCGCGATTGTCGGCAAACATGCAGGTCTAAAAGTTGCAAGAAAAATGAGTAGCAATTTCTTTTATGGTGAGAATAAAAACAGATGGAAAATACTACTTTTCTTGAAACAGCCAGGAAATGAAAAACCAGGAGAATTACGTTCAATATGGTAAAAACACTTAAAATAATAAAAAGCTGCATTTCAGGAAGAGAATCTATTTCCTAATAAAACAGAAACAGTAGGAAATCATTTTAAAAAAACTTAAACCATTTCATATTATTAAGTTTTCCTACTGACAGTAACATATAAAGTCTGAGGTACTGTGTTGTACATTTATTACATTCATACAACAGGGCTAGAAAAACCACATGCCCTTTTGCTTTTGACAGCGATAGAATGACAGCTAGCAACTGTTACCTGTATACTTATAATAAAAAATATTAAAGAGGTAAATCTCAAAACATAAACGAGTGAGGCAGTATTCATATATTACAAACATATTCCTTAAAACAGAATAATGGCGCTTTACATCTACAAGCATTAACTTCAGAAGCAGAGGTTGAAACAAAACACTCAAAGAGAAGAAGTAGAACAAATCTGTCATCACCTGCAGGCATTTTATCATGTTTGTCTTTTGCATGAGCTAGACTTACCAATAAAATATGCTTGATTCCTAATTCGGGTTTCCAGTCTTTCTTCAGAGTGTTCACACATATCTCCCCGTTACTCGAAACATTTGGGTGAAATATTTTTGTGAGGAAGAAAGCCTTTGGTGGCTCTGATGGAAAGTTGTTTCCAAGTACCAACTTCATGCGGAAGGTGCCGCCAGCGTAAGGGGTGCCAGCTGAAGAAACAGAGGAACAAAAGAAAATTAAGCTAAATATAAGAATAAAATATATGAAAAGAAAAAGAAAAAACTAAAAAAAAAGAACAAAACTACTGAATAAAAGTGGTCTGCTTCTCAATTCCTTTAAACCCCATGCACTACAGAAATCCAATTCATAAGGAAAAAACGCAGTACTGTTGCTTTTAAAATCACAATAGCTTCTAACATTTTTCGAAAGCTGCTAACTCAAAAAGCAAACGCTAAAAAAAGCAGATTCCATCCACAAGATCACCAAAAGAGCTCTATTACAGGAATCTGTAATGTGGCGTTCCAATATAGTACACACACAGCCAGACTCATGTTGGTCATCAGAACAAAGATGAAAATTTTTTTAAAGAGAACATCCTCACATTTGTACACAAATAGCTTTTAAACAAAAGTGTGCATATATATCATTATATGTTTATAAGCTAGATCTTCTCACAATCACAAATTAGCATTTCGGTAATACAGCTTTTACTCACACTCTACACAATAGCAATTAGAATATAACAAACTGAAACCTTGGCGCTCATATGACCTTATGCAATTGCGAGCGCCTCAAAACCTCTACTAAAACTAAACTAAAAACGAGACTAAGAACCCCCCCCCCAGCAAGCACTCATTCAATTTGTACTGACCAGGTCCTTCTATCGTTGCTTGAATATCTGTGACGTCTTCATCGTTCATGAACAGTTTAATACCTTCCGGTGGATTTCGACAGAGAGTGCTGATCTCCTTCGTTACTTGACGAATAATTTGTGGAGACAAATTTTCTACATTTGACACCTTGAAGAAAAAGAAAAGAGACAAAATATATATTTCATTCTTAATATTTGAAAATGCCATAGCAGGCATTGCACTTTACATAATAAAATTGAAACTGTCAACAATAGCCACCCATTGTCGAGGGGAGAACTTGATGTCTTAGACAAAATGTCATAGACAGTGTCATTATCATGAAAAAAAAATCACAAGGGGAGGAAGTGGGAAGTGGCTATCTGTGCAGGACAGGCGATTGTTTTGGACAGGTGGCTGCTGTTAGAGCAGGTTCCACTGTGTACGCTTTAAAAAATGATACCAACTATTTACTTTAATGCAGGCTTCCCAATATTTTCAAAATCCAGCCAGGAATTGATTATAATAAATGCATTATAACACCCGATTATAATAATTAAGAATATTACATCCAGTGGGACTTGTTTTTGTGTAGTGGGCAAAAAATTGCCCCCTGAAATTCCCAACTGCTGAATCCGGGACAGTCCCAAGAAATTTGGGACAGTTGGAAAGCCTGATAACTAGAGTTGGGTCAGGCCCGCAAAATTAGCGTCCGCGAATAACAAACTACTCACTGGCACTACCCGCAAACGAACGAACCGCCCGCTTTTGAAGAGAAGTTCACTACTCGACTCGCTACACATCGGACAGAGACAACAGTTCGTTTAGTGAGTGAGCGGACGGAGAGACACCATGCATTCAAGTGGGCGGACGGACGGGGAGCGACTCCTTCCATTGCATACTATTTACAACCCCCCCCTCCCCAAATTAAATAAAAATCACCCTCGTAGACATTAAGGGACATAAAAAGCCCAGTCACAGTGTCACAAATCTTATTCATTGGTCCGAACTAGATACTTGACAAGAAGAGAACAAGAAGAGAAACGGAAAAATTGTTATCGTGTAGGCTACTGTACCACCGTAATTATTGTTGTAGGCCTTACACAGAGTGAGACTGAGGAGATGCAGAGAAGGAGATGAGAGAAGAGATTTTTTCACCAAGTTTTTGTCTTGTTTGGTTTCTCAACCTACAAATCTTTCCATTGCTAGCAATCTTGCAATGTTTAAAAGCAGGTTCCCCTTGCCATTGCTAAGTCACTATAATTTATAATTCAATTAATTTGTCATCGCACCACTGACTACTATCAAGGCAAACCTGGGAATAAGGAACAGAGATTAGGCTACCTTCATAACAGAGTAGAGTTACCCAGCGTACACTCAAATTTCCTCCATTTTCACATTTGAATGTCACAACCAAGGAACACCACATCGAACCATTCTTAATTTTATTAGCTTAAGCGTAATAGTACAGTAGTCTCTGCCTAAACGCACGCCATACAAAAGCACGCTCCGCTGTAACGCACGCTTTCATCATCTGACGAGTTTTTTACTATATAATTATGACGTACAAACGCACAGTCACTCCCTCTAAACGCACGCTCCGTTCTGCGAAACACGCCGACAGGTAAAGCTTGACAAAGGGATATTTTCACTACAACCTGCACAGCCTGCGTTGGTAAGACAAGACAAGCCTAGAAAATTGGTGAGCGTGCCCCTCTCGCCGAACAAAGAGAGTGCTGGACAGTGTTTTCATAATAGATGGAACTGCTCTAATTTGCCGATGTGCTTCCTGTAGAGTGTCCAGTTCTCCGAACCGTAGAGGAGGGAGGAGAGCACAACGGCTTTGTACACTTTTATTTTTGTTGACAGCCGGACATTGTGCTGTTTTAGTACCTTGTTTTTCAGTCTACCGAGAGCTTGGCTGGCTTTGCTGATTCTTGAATCAATTTCCTGCTCCTTCTTTCCTTTCAAACAATTTTCGTCCTGATCTCGTTACGGAACTCCTCCCTTATGTTCTACAGTCGAACCTGTGTAAAACGGCCACCCATTGTCCAAGAGAAAAGTGGCTGTATAACACAGGTGGCCGTCATTGGCAAGATTGATGAAAATGAAGAAAGCAGATCATTCTCTTCTGAGTAACCTGCATGTGAGCCTCAACCAGATTATCTGAAAATTTTGTAGGTGTCATAAAAGGAAGGACTTCCGAGTAACCAGCGACCACCCCAAAAAAAACACAATATAAAGAAGAGACCTAACCCTAACCCAAGCCCTACCCCAAAAATGAACCTGCAACGGCCCTCATGTAAAAAGGTCAGCACAAGTCCAAAATGAAAACAACCCCCCAAAAAAAAACCTCCAAAACAAAAAGGAGCATAATAATAATAATATGGCCAATACTACTTTGCTATTATAATATGGTTTGATACAATAACACAATAGAATTGCAATATGAATCCTCCATAGATCTAGTAATCTAAATATAGAATCTAGATCTAGAAGAACAAGTGAATAGGAGGCCTTGAACGAGAAATCTGCATCCGATTCCGAACACTCGAACAGAGAGAGGGACTCGGCTGAGTCTAAGATTCTAAATAAATAATTCACGCACCTGATGAAATGCTTTTTACCAGCATTAATATTACAGCACAACCTATAATAGGGTTTGACACAATAGAATTGTGAGGTCTCTATTCTGAGGTCAAAACCAGGGCTGATCTCAGGCTTTACACTGCTGTAAGGCTAATTCAAGAGGGTTTTAAAAGGGGGGTGGGGGGGGGTGTTTAAAGGGTTTGTTTGTCGTTTTATTGGTTGTATGGTTTATATTTTGATTAGCATTCTTTTTTTTATGCTGATTTTGTGTAAGGGTAAAATAAACGAAGTATTATAATGTAAGTTAGACAATGAAGACTGAGTGTCACGGTAAAACAAACACACGGGTCGCCACCACTCGGAGAACCAGCGACACTTCTGTCTCAAATTCACGTCAACGTCCATTGTTACTTTGTCACAGACTAGGTTTAGTAAACAAAACAGACCAGTCACCTCACATACGATTTGTGTGAGTATTATAAGTTGTGGTGGGGCTTATATATAGGACTGGTTACTATGATGGATCAAGCTTCCCTCACAAGCAGTTGAAATTTATTGTTAGGTTTACCCAATGGTCAACTTGGGTAAACATTCATTGGAGGGAATAGCAAATGACAGGTGAATGGATTATGATGCTTGTCCTCAGCATGAGGGGCAGATTCAAAATTTATGACAAAGCGTCGGGCAATGAGTGACCATGCCTGGCCGCCTTAGGTAAAATTTGACCCTGGGTCGATAAAATAAGTTGGTCGCGACCGCATTGGATACATTCTCGCGCAATAATACAAGTGGTCCTGTATTCTTCAATCTTACCCGGGTGACCGTTTTACACAGTTAAATTATATAGTCATAGAGAAAAAAAAGCAAGGGAGGAAATGGAAAGTGCTGCCATTTGTACAAGTGGCCGTCATGGCAGGTTCGACTGTGTATCTTAAAAAAATCCCAGGAAATGGAAAGTGGCCATTTGTAGGATTGTAGGCCTACAGGTGATTAAGTAGCCTATACACAGATTTGCCGTTAGTAGAGTGAGTTCGACTGAACTGCTCCCAGTTTTTTATCTTACTTGAATACTTGAACTTCAAGTGAGACAGACTGGGTTAGCCGGGAGTTCGGGAGTTTCTGGGCGCTTTTTCGGTAGTTCCCACCCCAAAATTGATATTCACGGGTTTTGGCCCCAAGAGTAGGGGGGTTTCAGGGGGGGGGGCTTGCCCCCCTGACCTAATAGAAATAAGGCGGGGGGTTTCAGGGGGCACGCACCCCTGAATTTTATCACAATTTAATGTTCAAAGTGTATTAAAAACCCGGTAACCGGGAACAAAGTTACGAAGTATACAGACCCGATAGGGGAACTCTTTTGTGATTTCGGAAAGTTTCAGCGCTCAGACCCGGTAGTGTGTGTGTGAGTTAGAGAGAGAGAGAGAGAGAGAGAGAGAGAGAGAGAGAGAGAGAGAGAGAGAAAGAGAGAGAGAGCTGGGGGAAGTGCTAGCAAAATTTCAGTTGGCAGGAGGGAACGAGAGGAAGATAGAGTGAGAAATAGAGGGAGAAAGAAAGAGAGAGACAAACACAGAGACAGAGAATGCGAGCGGTACACAGAGACAGAGGGGAGAGAGAGAGAGAGAGAGAGAGAGAGAGAGAGAGAGAGAGAGAGAGAGAGAGAGAGAGAGAGAGAGAGAGAGAGAGAGAGAGAGAGAGAGAGAGAGCTGGGGGAAGTGCTAGCAAAATGTATGACATGCCCCAGTTGGCAGGAGGAACGAGAGAAAGATAGAGTGAGAATTATAGGTGGGGAGAAAGAAAGAGAGACAAACAAAGAAAAGAGAATGCGAGCGGTACACATAGACAGAGGAGAGAGAGAGAGAGAGAGAGAGAGGGAGAGAGAGAGAGAGAAAGAGAGAGAGAGAGACTGCTCGATTGAAATTATGACATTGTTCTTTTCTTCAAATTGTGATTCCTCCAACTCCAAAACAGAGGAAAAACGACCGTTCATCAAAAAGACATCCACAATCTTCATTTAGATTTAGATCTAGATCTAGGCTAGCCTCGAAACTAGATCAATGATTTATGCCTCTGTCCCGATCTAGAAGAACCTAGATCTAGTTCTACCCTGAGCCAAGAGGGCGCTGAAACTTTCCGAAATCACAAAAGAGTTCCCTACCGGGTCTGTATATATTTTGTGACTTTGTTCCCGGTTACCGGGGTCTGTATACACTCCCTTTAATGTTTTGCAGTTGTTAGGTTTGATATCTTAGCTCGCCGCGAATCAAACATAGATCTAGATGTAGGTCAGGCTCAACTAAGGAGGGTGGGAACTACCGAAAAACCACCAGTTTCTGAATAGCCTGAATTGGTACACACTGTGTAAAATTGGTACTGTACGTAGACCTGCCTTAAGCCTGAGGAATTGAAAATGTGTGGGTTCAGTCAGTGTAAGGTTAGGAAGTTGGGGGGAGTAGCATGGGGAAGGACTAGGCTTGAGGCTAGGGTCCAGACCCAGACAGCAAAATCAAAAGAGTGGACTGTGGACGGATGGCTATCAACATCCATTTTCAATGCAATTCATGGAAGGTAGTGTCAATTGCCACCAAGTGACGCGGTGGCAATTGACAAAAATTGACTTTTTGTCAATTGCCATCAAGTAAATTGGAGCTCTTTTGCGTTGGTGGGTAGATCTTGCTTATTGTGCACGAGTGCCCGGTACAAGTAGTGCGTTCGCCTCTCTGTCCCTCTGTGTGTGTGAGTGTCTTTTCCTTACCCCCGTCCCCCGATATAACGTGAATTTCTGCTTGAGTTTGTGACCTGTGTTGGTTCTACACCAAAGTGTGCCTGTGTTGGTTCTACACCAAAGTGTAGGTTAAGGCTTGCCTAGATCTAGGCCTACGTCTCATTGAAAACACGCCAAGTTGGTACCATAGCTCTACTCTAGACTAGATGCTCGTCCAATCACATTATGTATATTGCTAAAGATAGCGTTGTTTTCAGACTTGACACCACTTCACCCGGTGGCAGTTGACAAAAGGTCAATTTTTGTCAATTGCCACTGCGTCACTCGGTGTCGGTGGCAATTGACGCTACCTTCATGGAATCACGAACGCACACTTGTTCTCGACTTGTTTCGAATCTACTGCGTTGGCATAGACACATAAAAAGCCCAGTCACCGTGTCGCAAATCTTATTCATTGGTCTGAACTAGATATTTGACAAGAGGAGAAGAAGAAGAGAAACGGGAAAACTGTTATCGTGTGTATGCTACTGTACCACCGTAATTATTGTTGTAAGCCTTACACAGAGTGAGACTGGGAGAGGCAGAGAAGGAGATGAGAGAAGAGATAGAGTAAAAAGTTAAATAAAAACTATTTCCATCATCTTCAAGGGTGAAAAAATACTATGTAAAGACTCGAACATACATTTGACATTTTCTTCTGTGGGACTGGAAACAGACGGCGACAAACAGGAAGAAATTCAAGTTTCCTATCCCAAACAACAAAGTGTCAGCTGTGCTTGGATTCAAGCTTGGCCTAGGCATCGACATGACACGGAAACTTCTAAATCGATGAATATCATCCAATGAAAATTGAGTTTTTGGTCCATACGGAGCAAATGGTATTTTGAAAATAAAGGTTTTTTTCACAAAATTGTTAAAGATGGAATCAAATATGGGTGAATATAATATAATCAAGTTCATGGTATTCTTATTTGATGTAAATAAAATAGATTTTTATTTTTTTTTAAAGAAAAAAATTTGTAAACAAAATACTGAATAAGCCAATGAGGCCTCTTAAAAAAAAATAATCAGAAGACTATTCACACGCATAAATGTTCACTCTAACCGGTGAAAGGCTACCAAACTTTAGGCCTAGATCTAGTATTCGTTTTTCATCAACTCACGTAATCTAAAAAGTTATTACTGTTTAAAACCCTATCCAGACCGTTAAAGCTGTTCAATTTATGTACTATTATTTATGCTTCAGGGTTACTTTAACATAAATTAACAAAAATTCTCAGTTTACACTGCTCTGTTTCTAAGAGATGCTAGATCTATACAAATTATCATAGTGTGAATAACAAGCCCCGTTTTTTTTGTTTGTGGTGAAGTTTGTGAGGAAGGAAGCACCCACAGTCAGGACATGATCAAGAGACAAGTCTATCACTGAGAAGAGGAGAGCAAGAGAAAGCTAAGACTTCAATAAAGTCTTTTATTAAAAAATTATTCGCCCTATCTTCAATCGGTTGTTTCTGCCCACACGTACTTTTATTTTTCAAGTCAACATCTACTATGAAGAAAAGCACTGCAAAATATCCAGGAATGCAGGATTTGTCAGTAAGTTACTTGAGCCCGAGTGCCCTGACCGGAGTCCTGAGCCTGAATAGATATATATCTAGAATCGGTGATTGTCAAGATTTCCGCGGTTAATTCCGATGTGCGTCTTTCATAGCCTCAGGTATGTTTCACTTTGGTCCCTAACCCTAACCCTAACCCTGGTTAGGGTTAGTGTTAGGGTCAGGGTTAGGGTTAGAGGGACCAAAAAAAGCGAAACATACCTGAGGCTATGAAAGACGCACATCGGAATTATATAACCAGGGTTAGGGTTAGGGACCAAAGCGAAACATACCTGAGGCTATGAAAGACGCACATCGGAATTAAACGCGGAAATCTTGACAATCGCCCTAGAATCTAGACAGTTGATCTACACTGGTCTTCACAACAGAACAGTGAGTGGCTGTCCATTCCGCTCTCGTCTCAGCACACCCACAATACCACTGCATTAGTATTGTTGTATTTGTTGAGTTATGTTGTTCATTCATCATTGTGATAGATCTAGATCTAGATCTAGATCTAGTAGTGAAATAGTAGGCCTAATGATGGGAGGACTTCCATAACGAGCGACCACTATGAGAGAGCGGAATTGAGGGCTCTGGGTAGGGGTAAGAGAGGGTTAGGTCTAGGCCTCTTCTTTATTGTGTTTGATGGGGTGGTCGCTCGTTACGGAAGTCCTTCCGGCCTAATAATCCTAATGATGCTAGAGACTAGAGATGTGTGTTCTGTTGTTTGGGTTCACCCCCACTTTTATCATTGATCTCAGTGACTCACAGTTACCCATTATTGCCATCGAAGTGTATACAGACCCGGTAATCGGGAACAAAGTCACGAAGTATACAGACCCGGTAGGGGAACTCTTTTGTGATTTCGGGAAGTTTCAGCCCCCAGACCCGATAGAAATGTAGTGTGTGTGTGTGTGTGAGAAAGAGAGAGAGAAAGAGGAGGGGGGGGGGGTGCTAGCAAAATGTATATGACATGCCCCAGTTGGCAGGAGGGAACGAGAGAAAGATAGAGTGGGAAATAGGTGGGGACAAAGAAAGACAGAGACAAACAAAAAAAGAGAAGGTGAGCGATACACAGAGGAGAAAGAGAGAGAGAGGGGGGGCTGCTCGATTGAAATTATGACATTGTAACTTGTTCTTTTCTTCAAATTGTGATTCCCCCAACTCCAAAACGGAGGAAAAACGATCGTTCATCAAAAAGACATCCGCAATCTTCATTTAGATCTAGGCTAGCCGCGAAACTAGATCAAAGATTTAAGTTTGTCTGCCTAGATCTAGATCTAGACCATAGATCTAGAAGAACCTAGGTCTACCCTGAGCAAAGAGGGCGCTGGAAACTCTCTGAAATCACAAAAGAGTTCCCTTACCGGGTCTGTATACTTTGTGACTTTGTTCCCGGTTACCGGGTCTGTATACACTCCCTATTGCCATTCATTAGGCCTATATAGATCTAGCTGTCATTTCGTCACTCCGGTGCAGTCAAGACTTCACAGTCATCTCGTCACATGGTCTTTTTGTCACATCCCAAATCCACAAAAATTTAGAATCTAGTCACACACTTGCAAACATCAAACGCACTTTGTCATTGCCCCCCCCGGCGGGGGGATGCGAGTCGTTGTGTCTACTTGGTCAACAACACCGTTCATAACTGGGTGAGTTTTGTTGAGTTGTTTGTTCTGCCTTTGTTTCAAACTTGGTGAGTTATTTTTTTTAAATGAAGTGTCTACGTACATGGTAACTGGGCACCTAGTCTCAGTGTCTACGTACAAGGTAACCGTCGACCGGGCACGTTGTCTCAGTGTCTACGTACAAGGTAACCGCCGACCGGGCACGTTGCCTCAGTGTCTCGTACACGGTAACCGAGCATGCAGCCTCAATATCTACGTACTCGGTAACCAGCAACTGGGCACGTAGTCTCAAATTAATGATCCCCCCATTCCCGAGCCCTATACTTCGCAGCGCACAGACTTTGAATGAACTTTGGTGACCCCAACCGGTACTCACAATGTGCGTGATGCACACGCACAGGTTCACTGAGCCTGACAAGACGCTTGTATGACTTTCTTTTTTGTTTTCAGCAAGTGACAGCACAGGACACATATTGATTTATTTTCATTCCGGTTACTGTGTATGTAAATACTGAGACTAGGTGAGACTAGGTGCCCGGTTACGGTATGTAGGTACTGAGACTAGGTGACCATGAATGTAGACACTCCGTTTTTTAAAAGTTTTTTATTGGTTGGAGAGGTGGGGTGGGCGTGAGCCAGGCTACCCGGAAAGCACGCTGGCCCAGTATATAGGGCCGATCTACTTCGACCAGGAAGCGCGCAGGCCGTATATAGGACATAGAGAGACCCTAACCCTTTTCAATGGAAAATTTCAGTTTGTTTTCCCAAATGTTCAAAGAAATAGGCACTTCGTTCCTTTTATTTATGAAAAATGGGAATTGCTGCTTTTTCTTTCCTCATCCTTACTTACTTTCATCATTTATCCTCTACTTCTTTTAATGTTTGTCACTTTCTTGTGAACTGCTATTTGCGGGGAGCCTTGATAGTCGAGGCAGACTACATCAACTAGTGCCCTCCAAACAACCACATTCCTCCAGTAACAATCTCGAGAGATTATTATTTTTTGTGAATAGCAGTGTACAAAAGGCATAGCATAACTTGGGCGTCTTGGGCTTGGCAAATATCAAAATCATCAAATGGTGAAAATCGTTGAAAATATGAAAATGCCCACATCTTTTTTAAAAAACTTTTGATGTAGGCCTCTTATCATGTAAGGGCCTATAGTGTAATTTTCAGGTTTTCAGTTTTTTTGGTTGAGCTAGGTTAGGCCTAATGAAGGCTATTGTTGTTTCACTCAATAATTTTTTTTGTCAGTGATTCAGATTGAAAAAAAAAGATATTAAAAAAATCCCCACCACTAGATCTACTTAAACTGTTACTTGGTAGTCTAGAAGAATTGAAGGTATAGCAATATCGCACGTCTCACGCTGGCAGTACGAAAACGTGGTGGACTCTTCTGAGCTAGGGGTAACCCTGGGAACATTTAAAGTTATAGATAGCACTTTTTATTACGTCAGCCCCATGTATCATACATAGCTGCATATATGCAGAAGAAGAAATTTTGGCGTTCACATTGTTTTCTGATGCTTTTTCTTAATTTAAGTTTGCTGCTGATTAGGGTCTTTGTTCTTTATGGAGTTCCTCTGTACTCTTTACAGTCAAAAATGAATTATCTGTCAATCTTCAATGAAATGCAGATAATGTGGGTTCTCATGCTATTCTTTTTTTCTGGTTTCAGCATCTTGGTGGTGGAGAGATGGCCTGTGATGAAGGCGAAGGTCATGATCTGAAAAGAGATTTTGAAGGGTGGCGTGAAGTCTTGATCCCATTGGCCAGTGTTTTAAAGTGGGATCAGCCATACTACCCTGCTATTTTAGTTGGCGTGTCTACTTTTTTATTTTCGTAAGTTCCATTTGTTATTTTACACTCATTGAGACCAGGCCAGTAGCGCGATTGTGGTTGTCACTCCATACGGACCATTGAACACTTTGTCGAAAACTTCACTGGAATGTAAATTTTTTAGCACAATTTTGGGCTCGGATGATGATACATTTCTCCCCCCTTTGTTAAACTCTTGTTTATATCAATAAAACTTTTTTTTTCCTGCAAACTTTTTTAAAACCTCACAATTATCAATTTTCAGTAAACCTTTCTGTACGCAGAATGTGACAGAAAATAAAATTTAAAATTTTTGAAATCTTGACACCAAAAAATATGAGGACTAGATCTAGTAAAGCTGGGGCTTCTTCAAATTCTAGGTAAATTGTGAGCACGAACTGCTCGCTCCAAGTGAGTTGCTGACTGGCTTGCGGTTTGCACTCTGTGATGTCGTCACATACTGTTTTCCTGCTGCTGGCACGGAGGTGCCAAAGGCCAACAGTGTTACTGTTCTTTCATTTTTTTCATCCACCCCCTTTTAAAAGAAGTCTCTCTCTCTCTCTCTCTCTCTCTCTCTCTCTCTCTCTCTCTCTCTCTCT